ATACATTTGGAAAAAACAACTTTATTGATATAAGCACTTCCTGGAGAATATTTTTTCACTATACAAAAAACTCATATTTGATCATTGTTTTCTCTATATCTGCCTATTTCTCTCACATACATTCTCAGTGTGTGTGTGTGTGTGTGTGTGTGTGTGTGTGTGTGTGTCCAGAGGCTTCTGCATCTGTAGTAGCTGGAAATAACATATATGTCACATATACCCCACTGCGTGCATGTGCGTGCGTGTGTGCGCGCGCGCGCACACACACACACACACACACACACACACACACAAATATATACACCTCTGCCACAGTCTTCCTTCAATTCTATTCTCAATTTCCAGCCTTGTCGGCCATCCTGATTTCCTCTTCTCTAAACGTCAAGGAAACTGTTAATGCGTATCTGAGAATGAAAATGTTGGGCATATAAAAAAACTGAAAGACAATCCATATTGGCATAAAATAGTTTGCTTATAACCAGAAAAGCCTTATTCTCTCTCACGCCCATTCCCTCTACATCTTTTACCTCTTTCTCTCTGTTACTATCACACGCACACACAACATACATGCACACACACACACAGAGAGAGAGAGAGAGAAGGAAAGAGAGAGAGAGAAAGAGAGAGAGAGAGAGAGAGAGGAGAACTGACTATAAAGAAAGCAGCATTTGAGGGCATCAAAGGAAACTTGAACATTTTGTTTGCTTGGGATCAACATCATTGTCCTGGCAAATACAAGCTCCAAGTGGAAGTGTTTTAGCCAGATACCGCTCCACCACTGTATGGCTAACTAAGCAGGAAAATCAGCTTCAATGATGCCATGGAATTCAAGAGAATATTCAACCTGGAAAAATTCTAACCTCAAACAGCACCTCCCAAAAGATGACTACAGCTCCTGTAGGAAATCATTTAACCACAAATTCCAACTCCCCTTCACTCCTACAGCCTCAGTCATACATCTCAAAGGGCTGATCCTTGAATCGTGACAACCTGACCCACATCAGCAGCTCAGAAGCCAGATGGCAACACAATGCCTTTCCAGCCTACTGGGTAGGAAAAGGGAGGGACAACCAATTGAATGATTATAATTGAAATCCTATAATTTATTATTTGTCAATAACTTCTGCCTTGGGGGAGTTCTCTTCACTCCTTAGCAAATGCTGGCAGCCACAATATGTAACCAGGCACCTAAAACACCTCTGAAACCATTTCATTATGTGGCAACAATGAAATGGAGAATAAGGTCTCTGTGGAGATAGAGAAGACATGCCACATCACAGAGTTCACTATTCAATAGATGGAAATTTTAAAGACTTAGGAGGGAAAATTCCTGTGAGATTCTGAGGGTAAAAAGCTATCATGAAAGTGGGATCAGCTGGACTGGCAGGAAGTGTGGCATAAAAAACCCAAGAACTATCCTCCTGTTTGCAATATAATGTGAAGTTGATAGTTCTGTTACCCCTGCAGTTATTAAACTGCACAGATCAAATAACCACCTGAACTGAGCTGTACTGAGTCAAGCAAGGAAATTTACTTCAATCATAGAATAGTAGCTCTCAGGTTGAAAGGGGCAACTATTAGACATCTACCCAATGTTCCTCTACTTAACTCCTCTGTAAATTATCCCTGTCTCATGTTCATCTCCCTGTAATTGATGCAACCTGATGCAACATAAATAGGATTTGGAGTGAAAAGCCCTGAGTTGGAGGCCTGGGTCTTGACTTTTTAATGTACCAGCCATGCAACATTAGACCTTCTAGTCTTCCACTACAATATGAGCAGATTGAACTAGTTGATGCCAAGATTCCATCCAGTTCAAAATTCTCTAGGCAATAATAGGGAACTCACTGTCTCCAAAAATAATTATTTGCATGTTTGGACAATTCTATTAAAAAGTCCTTACTCATATAAAGTCAAAACATGGTTTCTTATAGTTTCTACATATTTATCTGAGTTCTACCTGCCTTGGGATTATATAGTCCAAGTATAATCCCTCTTCTATATAACATCCATTCATATAGCCAAAGACAGATATTGAGTCTCCCATCCATCCACCCATCCGTCCATCCATCCATCCCACTGAGTTCTGTTTGCCACTCATCTAGACAATCATTCTATCTACTTTACTCAGAACACATACCAATTTGTCCGTATCCTTATTGAAAAATAGTCATCAGAACTGAACAAAGAGCTACAGAAACAATCTGTTGAATGCTGAGCGAAGAATATCACCATCTATTTTGTTCCAGCTAATGTGTTTCTTTTAAAGCAGCCTAATATCACATTACATTTTGGCTATGGCATCACTCTGCCACTGCCAGAATACTGCTTCTTTTACTCGTGTCTTCTACCCTGTCCTTGTAAAGTTAATTTGAAACTGGAGTCAGAATTTTACTTTTCAATCATATTCATTTATCAGATTCAAGCCATCGGTGCAACATGCTAAAATCTTCTTGAATCCTCAGTCTATCCTAAAAATACTTGCCATCTAACCAAATTTTCACCTAAGTTATTGATAAAATATAATGAGCATAATATGGTCTGGAAAAAAATCCTGGAGCAGACCACTAAACACTACCCTCCATATTTACATAATTCTGCAAGATTTGGGGTCTTCTGGCCATTAAAAGGTCAGATCCAAGACTGCCTCATTCTTGACACTCTCTCGACTCTACCTTCTTCACTCAGTTATAGTCCGTGGTCTAGTCTTTCTGCTGATCCTGCAATGATTTCCACAGTTCACCTAAGATGTGGGTACTTTGAGAAAAACCACTGTTTAAAACATTAGAAATATAAAGAAGGCTAACAGAAAAAGGACAAAAGTTCACACCCAGAACAATATGCCATGGTGGAAATAATGTGAGTTGGAGTCTGAATAACCTCAGATTAAATCTTAGTTCTGTAATTTACTTGCTTGGTGACCTTGGGTACCTTATCAGTATCAGTTCTCTCATCTCTAAAGTAGAGGTAATAATAATGACCTCACAGGGTTGTCCTGATCATTAAAATTAATACTTGCAAAATATTAGCACATTCTTAGCACATAATAGGTATACAATATAGATTACTATCATTATTACAGCATGGTAGAGCTAAAAATGCAATAATCACTGGCATAAAAAAATTAAACCCAAGAAGAACAAAATAGAAAATGAAGATCTATGTTCTACAGGTGTTAACCGATACTCCACAAAACAAAGAATCAATGATGTAATAAGGTTAAGAATTAGGACATTAAAAACAGTTTTAAACACTCTGGCATATTTTTATCTCTTTGACTCTGAACAAGATTGGCACACCCTTGCATCTCTTATTTGATCATTTCCCAGGCATTGCTATACGGCCCAACGACACATAGGATGACTCAGACTTAGTCAATGCTAGGGTGAGAATAAACAAAATTTGAGGCACCAGGGGGCAGGGGGAAGACATATAAATAAGTAATCAATATAAAATATCAACAGTGCTATTGAGAGGTAAATACAGAGAATACAAGGGAACAGTGATAAATCTGGAGATGTCAGATAAGGCTTTATGCAGGAGGTGATAATTCTGAAGTATCTTAAAAGATAAAGAGAATTTAAGGTTGAGGGTCTCTCCAATTATGGTAGTGGAGGATAGCACGCAAATATTTTAAATAGTAGTGGACCAATACAGGCTCATCCAAGAAATACTGATCACTCTAGAGTGACTTTTCCTTGAGATACAGGTAATAAGAGAGACAGCTGGGAAGATACAGATTCATGCCTATTGTAAAGGGGCTTGTATGTCAAGTAAAGAAATTTGGAAATCTGCAGGCAAGAAGAAACCAGCACAGGGAATGACATACGTTGGTAAGATGAATTAGCCAGCTTAATAGGAGAAAGACAGGCTAGTTACAACAATTTTTTTTTAACCAATGCCCAATTGAAAGATGGTCTAGTCCAGAACTAAAATTATAGCACTGGAGGTAGAGAATAGGCCCACATAACAAAATACAAGTGTGAGTAGAATTGATATGATGTGACATGAGTATGAGGAGTTAAGGAAAAGGGGAAATGAAAATAACTTTGTCTAGCTTGAGACACCCAGTGTGTGGGGACATCATTACCAATATGTGGACTTCTGGCGGATAGTACATTTTGGTAGGAGGCACAATGTAACTTCAGTTTTCAATAGTATGGATTGAGATAACCATGAGACATCCATATGGAGATGCAATCTGCTCAACTTAACAGTGTGTAGATCATAAGAGAGACCAGGGATAGGAGTCCCCTGTATATTTGTGGCAATAAATGAGAAAACTCATGGTTTAAGAAGGGAGAGTATGTTGAACGTGTCTCTCATGCCACGATGCAATAACCTTGAAAACAAAGTAAAATTACACTAATGATTCTTACCTAACAAACTCATGCTTCTAGTGATCACCACTTCTAACTCAATTGTTCACATTCTTGCTTTTCTTTGAAAAATTAAAATTAAATTTGCCTATCAATAATTTCTGGAAGATAGCATTCATCTCATGGCAAGTTCTCTCAGTACCCAAAGATGGGATTCATAGATTAAAAAGGAACATATTATAGATGCTTATGATGTTTCTTATCATAAATTAAATTTCAAGTTCTATAAATGTATTAATATGTCCTACTCTTCTAGAGACAAGGATCAGGAAGTGTATTTATCAATAGATATTTATCAAACACCTACCAAGCCAGAGTGGAGTTACAAAAAGTAGGTGTGGGCCCTGCACACAAAGAACCTGTATTAGCCAAAGGGACCCTTCCATAAAATTTCCAGTATGTAAACCTAAATTTGGAACTTGCTAAAACAAGTACAGATGAGTACGTGAGGAAGCTGGGAAGTAAACACATGTTGCTGGAGAAATAGAGGTGGAGTTATGGGTGGATCTAGGTTTAGTTAGGAATGAATCAGACCATCCCACAGAGGGTGACTCCTCCCTGCATGAGCCTGTGACTAGTATAAAAAGGTGATTATCTCAGACTTCAGTACCCAGCAAGCTCCTTCAGGCTACATTATATTTGCTCTTTTGGTGAACAAGGTAAGAAGGAATACATTTAACTTTGCGTCCTTACTATTAAGCAAGGTGGAAATCTGAATGTGTGAGAACTATAAGGCTCTCCAAATTTAGGGTTTTTCTCTTTCTTTTTAGTGGCACTGTCACTGAAAGGTTTATTTGTATACACAAGGAAAATGAGGGCATAAATTTGCTTTCCATATAGCTGTTCAATACTCTTTGTATTGTTAGATTGTCCATTTATTCATTTATTTAACAAATATGTATTAACTACCTTCTATTTCGTCTTGGCTCTGATTATGCAGCAGGGAGCTACATAAACTTGCTAGCAGCTTACCTTTAGTAGGGGGAAACATTCAGTAAACAACAATAAATGAATAAGATAATTTCAAATAATGGTAAGAATAATGAAGAATATAAAAGAGTGATGTAGTAGAGCAGGGGTATTCCATCTTTCGGCTTCCCTGGGCTACACTGGAAGAAGAATTGTCTTGGGCCACACATAAAATACTAACACTAACAATAGCTGATGAGCTTTTTTTAAAAAAAAAAATCATAATGTTTAAGAACATTTACAAATTTGTAAATTTGGGGCACATTCAAAACTGTCCTGGACCACAGATTGGACAAGCTTGTAGCAAAGTGATGGGAGGGAGGAGGAGGATGCTTTAAATTACATGGCCGGGGAAGACCTCTCTGGGGAATTCTCTTTTCAGTTGGGATCTTAATAACAAAAGAAACTAGCCAAAGCAAAGCACACGATTCTAAGTAGGAGTAAATTTGTTTTAAAGAACAAAAAGAAGCTAGTGTGTCTTAGAACATACATAATTAAAAAGAGGACCAGTGGTATACGGTGATGTCAGGGAGCTAGACAGGAGTAGGCCATGTAAAAAGGGGCACGGTATAATTAAAACGGTGCATGTTAGATTTTGACATGTACTTAAAAGGGTATTCAGCAAAAGGAGGAGTAAGATAATCTACGTTTTTAAAAGACCACTCTGGGCTGCTATGTGGAAAACAGGATTATAGGAAGGCAAGAGCAGGAACATGGAGAGAGGCTGCTGTCATTTATGTGAAAGATGATGGAAATAATAGAAATAATGAGAAATAACTGCTGAAACCAAAATCTAGAAGTTATCCATGATTCCTGTTTTCTCGTCACACTGATTCATCACCATGTCCAGTCAACTCTGCCTATAAACATGCTAATCTATCCATTTATCTCCCTCTCTACCATTATCATCCTAATCCAGGATACCCTTTTCTCCCAACACTATTATGTTATCTGAAAATACCACAACTTATTTATCCATTTTTCTATGGATATATATTTGGGTCACTTCCATTTTGGGAGGTATTATAAATAACAGGGCTATGCACATTTTTGTCTATTACTTTTGGTTACACACAGGTACATATTTCTGTTGGGAATATTCTTAGGAGACAATTGCTAGGACTTAGATACTGCCAAACAATTTTCCAACGTGCTTCTGGTTTATGCTGCCTCTAGCAGTACATAAAAAAAATCTCAATTTTCCACATTCTCACCAATATTTGGTATTGTCAAGGGCTGTTTTATCTTTTTAATAAAAAGATTTTTTTGGTCTCATACATTATTTCAATCTGTATTTCCCTGGTGCATAATAAGGCTGAGAAGTTTTGATATGTTTATTGGCCACCTGGATATCCTTTTCTGTAAAGTTCCTAAGGTAGAGATTCATTTTTCTATTGGGTTAACTGTATTTTTTTCTATTGATTTATAGGAGTTATTTTTATATTCAGGGACAGATTCCTTTATTGGTTAAGTGTGTTTTGTATATCCTCCACTGTGCAGCTTGTCCTTCTCTCTTTTAATGGCATCTTTAAAAGACTAAACATTCCTACTTTTAATGCAGTAAAATTCATCAGTCTTTTTCTTAGTGATTAGTACTTTTTGAATTTTATTTAAGTATTCCCCCACCCCAAGGTCCCGAAGACATACTCCAATATTATCTTCTCTTATTGCTTATATGTAAAATCTACCTGGAAACTAATTTTTTCCCCATTTGAATATTCAGTTAACCCAGCACCATTTATTCAAAAGGCTATTCTTTCCCTGCCAACCTACACTACCATCTTTGGCATTAACCAAATGTCCAGAGTGATATAAGACTGATTTTATACTATTATCTTTTATCATTCCATTTGTTTAGCCTTGCACCAATGCCATATTGTCTTCCTTTATAACACACCTTGCTATCTGGTATGTCTTCCAACTTAGTCTTCTTCAAGATTGTCTTACCTAATCTTGGCCCTCTACATTTTCATCTACATTTTAGAAATTACCTTATCAATCTTTATTTTTTAAAAACTTCAGATATTCAGAATGTGATTTCATTGCACCTATAAATGAATTTGAGGAGATTTGATATCTTAATGCCATTGAGACTTTTAATTCATAAACAAGCTATATATTCTTCCATTTATTTAAATCTTTTTTTTATTGTACTTTAGATTCTAGGGTACATGTGCAACTCATGCAAGATTGATGCATAGGTACATTCGTGGCAAAGTGGTTTGCTGCCTCCATCCTCCTATCACCTACACCTGAAATTTCTCCCCATGTTATCCCTCCTCATCCTCCCTCCTACTATCCCTCCCCTAGTGACCCCCCACAATGGACCCTGGTGTGTGATACTCCCCTCTCTGTGTCCACGTGTTCTCATTGTTCAACACCTGCCTATGAGTGAGAACATGCCGTGTTTGATTTTCTGTTCTTGTGTCAGTTTGCTGAAAATGATTTAATCTTTAGTTTATCTCAATATTTACAGTTTTCTGAGTATAGCTCTTTCATGTTTTCATTTATTCCTAAAAATTTTCTGTTATACGCTTTTATGAATAGCCTTTCTTATTTCATTTTCTCAACACTTAAAATCTCAACATTTATAATATTCTGAGACTTAATTAGATTTATTCCTGAAATTTTCCCAATTTTTTATGTTTTTGTAAATAGCATCCTTTCTTATTTTACTTTCTAATTCTTTATTGCTGTTATATAGAAATACAATTGGTTTTTGTATAGTTATAACCAGAAACATGTTTAGTTTACTGATTCTAATAGTTTAGCTATACAGTCTTGGATTTTTCACATACAAAAGTTATATCATCCTGCAAGTAATAACAGTTTTATTACTTTTTTTCTAATTACTCTTCTTTTAATTCCTTTTCTTAACTTATTGCTCTACCTAGGACTTTTAATACAAAGTTAAATAGGATGATACTATGCATAGTATATATCAATAGGATGATACAGGCATACTAGTCTCATTCCCAAACTTGGAGATGAAATCTTTCATTTCACCATTAAATATAATTTTTGCTATGACATTTTCATAGACATAATTAATCTTATATTTGTTAATCAGAATTAATGTTGAATTTTATCAAGTTTTTACATCTATTATGAAGTTCATATGATTTTCTCCGTTATTCTAGTTCAGTACTTAATTGGTTGGTTTTCAATTGTTAATCCAAATATGAATTTTTGAAATAAAATGTACTTAGGAATGATGAATATTCTTTTTATATAACACTGGATTCAGTCTACTATTATTTTCTTTCAGAGTTTTGCATCTATATGAAAGGAATTGTCCTGAAAATTTTGATTCTTATAACATTGTCAGGGTACAATACATTCTTATAACATTGCCAGGCTGGATTAATAAAATGGGTGTTTCTTCTTTTTCTTTTCCCTGAAGTAATCTACATGATATTATAGTTACTATTCCTTTTTTACGCACTGAGTAGAATTCAGTAAAGCCATCTGACCTGCAGTTTCTCCCCTAGTGGAAATGAATGCATTTAAGATTCAATTTCTTTAATAAACATAAGTCTATTTAGGTTTTCTATTTATTGTTGGTTCAGTTTAGTAACAAGTATTTTTCTAGAAGCACTTCTATGTCATCTGAATTTTTAAATTAACTGGTATTATGTTTTCTTATAACATGCTCTTATTATCTTTCTAATATCTGAAACATCGATAGCAATGTCCCCTTTTACTTTCCTGATATTGGTACTTAGGCCTGTACTCTTCTTTTCTTGCTGGGGTTATCAGTTTTATTAGATTTTTTAAAGACTAAATCTCTTGGCACTGTGGATTCTCTAACTTTTCTATTTTATTAATTTCAGTTATTTTATTATCTCCTTCATTATACTTTCTTAGCGTTTAATTTGTTCTTAAAACTTCTTGAGCTATATACTTAGGTAATTAATTTTTCAGTCTTTCATATATATATACATTTATATATACACAACTGTATGCTGCTTATAAGAATCACACATAAAATATGATAACAGCGATTGAAAATGAAAAGATGTAAAAAAGATACCATTTATATATATTGTGTATATATATGTATATATGTGTGTGTGTATATATATAGAGAGAGGATATTTATTGCCTACATACATATATAGAATAGGAATACATTAATTCCTTATGGAATACATTAATTCTGTGCCTAATGGATATTTATTGCCTATCTCTATATAAAGATAGATAGATGATAGATAGATAGATACAGATATTTATTGCCTATATATATCTGTATCTGTATTGCAATAAATATCTGTATCTATCTATTGCCTATATATATATAGGCAATAAATATCCATTAGGCATGGAACTAATGTATTCCATAAGTTCATTTTTCTCATTTTCATTGAGTTCAAACTATATTTTAATTTTGCACTGCAATTTATTCAATGACCCACTAATTTTTTAGAAGTTATTGCTTAATTTTCAAACACTTGAAGATTTTTCTAGTTATCTTCCTATTATTTAATTCTTGCTTCATTCCACTGTATTAGACAACAAACTCTATGATTTCAACCCTTTAAAATTTATTGAAACTTGCTTTATGACCCAGTATATGGTCAATTTCAAAAGGATGGGTATTCTGCAGTTGTTAGGTGTAGTATTCAATGTATGTTGATGTTTTATTAATAATTTTGTAGAAATATTCTATATTCTTACAGACTTTTTT